CTTTCCTAGCTGTCTGCTTTTGCCCTTTGTTGGCAATACTGCAACGGGCTAGGTAACTCCTTGAACTGACCCACCATCGTCGCTACTCTGCTCTTGTGAACTTAATCCACTTTTGTCAGTTCTTGATCTGATTTCTATCATGGTTCACTGGCAAACGTTGTGGAAATTCAATACAAATGATATAACCTGTATCTCACAACAAGTTTGGTTAAATGGATCTATGGAAGAGCACAAAGGGCTATTAAAAACAAAACCCATCATCTTTAACTTGGGAATTTGATTTGCACTTTGCTGGGAAATGGGAATGCATAAAGGGAAATATCACTATGTAGGTGATACTCTTAAAATAGCCTTAGATATCTGCCATTTGTTCCTTGTATGTAGGATAACGCACTTGATAGACTTTTATCTGAGGCAGTATTTCCCTTATATTTTAATTTTGCCAAAAGTGCTATTGTGTGTGCTTGTTCTTCGATAACAAAGGGCAAAAACCCCACTGTATCTGACTGGACTTACTCCATGACGCCATAGAACTGCATCATATTTTTGATCTCATCCTTATATGAATAATATTGTCCCATATTCTCTTCTTTATCTATTGACTGGAGAATTGGTGTGTTGACAAATCCTGGACAAATTGTGTTGAGTCTCACACCATAGTTTTCCATATGAGCAGCTAACTAGAAAAGAAAAAAAAGTTAGGTATTTGTCATCAACATTTTAAAACAGTAATGTGTAAGTAATTTTTCAAAGAATGAGATTAACTACTAAGTACTTTTCAGCCTTGCCTAGTAAGCAAATTTTGTTACTACTTATTATTTTGTTTCAACAAAGTTTGAAGCATGTTTTCTCTAGTAATTGTACCAGATTGCTGGAAAAAAACCTCATCTGTTTTGCTGGGAGAACAATTCTACAAGAAATCAACACTCTTCTTTCCATGCAGCTGTTTTTTTCATATATTTTTGTTGTGGGTGTTCTTGGTATGTCATTAACGGTATTCTAGGGTAATGAGATAACTCTCATAAGCAAAGCCAAGTAAAAAAAAAAATCTCCTAAATGTACGCTTCCAATCTTATAAGAACTTCGTTATTAAAAGAAAGCTGTCTGAAATCAAATCAAGATTTAACGCTAAGATTGTATTTACCTCCCTTACGTCAGCAGAAATAGGATTTGGTCTCTGGCTCTAGAACTGTAATGCTAAACCTTCACAGCTGCTCTATCGTCCCTGCCAAGGGACGAATCTATCGCTGAGCATCTCCACAGAGAAGTCCCTGTGAACTCCAGGAAAGAGGCAGGAGTTTTTTCCGGAAGCAGTTCAGGAACATGGTGGAAGCAAGCAGCACAAGTTGTTCTGGGAATGGTAGGACCCTTCATTTGTGGTGCTACCGATGTATGTGTGTAGCAACAAAGTCTGATCAGCATCCAGGCATATGTTGACTGCTGGATGAAGTTTCTTAGCGATGGCACAGAACTTGTGAACTATACATGATATATCCAAGAATAACCATAACTGTTCAACACTGAGTTCTATTTATTTTAACATTTAACAGGAAGTCTTTCTGATATTATGTGAATCACATTATGACATGGTGGCCTAGCCTTTTGGTCTGGAGAAGAAAAGAAACTGAAGTCCTAGATGTTTTGTATTATACCTGCCCAATGTTAGGCTGTACTGCCTTTCCTGGTAAATACAGTGATTCACTATGTTTATTATTTTTCTTCTCCTTGGCATTCTCATGTTCCATAGAGACAGCATTTCCTCTAGCTTTCTAGCAGACCCTTTACTTTTTAACTTAGATGGTGATGTTTACGTTACCATGAGAAAACAAAAATGGAAAACCAGGTGTCATGTTCATGCTGTGGCTAATATGTTACATGAAACACTTATCCGTACTAAACTACTGTTTAGGTTAATCTAAAAAAAGAAGTTACTTGGGTGGAAGGTGGGGGTGTAAAATGTGGATAAACTATCGAAATGATAATTTCAGGTGCTTTATTCTGGAAATTAGATTGGAAATCTTTTAAGAGTAGACTATCTTTCAGCTTAGCCTATGAAAGTGTTGTCAGATTTGCTTCCTCCAAGTTATTTTATCATACTGATTGTTCAGTTTAACTGGAAAGTTTTGGAGTCAGAGGCTAAGACTTACTATAGGGTCATATAAGATCTAACATGCCCCATCCTGTGTCATTTTGCATTTTCAGCGTATTAAGACTCAATAGGAATAAATAAAGGCAAACATTTTTGTATTCAAGTTACTTTTTGTATACTTTAGTGCCTATTTGGCATAAAAAACCATCATCAATCTGACTTACAAATAAGGAAACCAAAATGTGAAATGACTGGGATGGAGTTATGAAAAATATTTTTAAAGCTTGGATAAGAATTTGAGTTTTTGGCTCCTCCCACTGTCCTTAAATTACTTTGCAACATCTTTTTTCCATGCTCCCAAAACCTCAAATCGCTCATAAACACACACATGCCTTACTTACTCTGTTTTTTGGATTCCCTTTGTGAAAGGAGGGAACCTCCACTGCTTCAGACACTTTGCTCTCTTTAAGAAAATTAGTTCTAGTTGTGTGACAATAGAGAGGGAACATGAAGAACTTAGCATGTTCCCAAGGAGCTGCTGATACTGTTTTCAAAAACACATACTTACTGCTATTGACCGTGTGAATCCAATTACACCATGCTTTGTAGCACAGTACACAGGTTGGAATGCAGCAGGCATGAGTCCTTTAAAATAAAAAGGTAGCTGAATGAAGATGGTGGGTACTCCTATTTATGATTACTTTTAAACACACATACAGGTCTATAATGTAAAAAATAAGTGATGGATTTATAGAGATGCAACAAAAGAGAGTAGTAAAAATTTGCAAGTTACATTTTGTAATCTGAGGTAGGCTGGGAAAAGATATGAGGTGGATAAAAACACGAGGAGGCAAAAGAAAAGTAATTAAAAAAGTGTAACTTTTAAGAGGAAAAGTTGTATCTATGAAGTATGACTTAAAATGGAGGACATGATCTGGATTGAGAAGGCAGGATGGGATTTTTGAGCCTTCTATGAATCTGTAAAATATTTAAAGTATGTAAAGTACTTTAGATAAACCTTGCTGACAGCCTAGCTGCTGCTATGTAAACAGTGATTTCAGGGAGGAAGTGTGGGAAAAGGTAAGGGAAGTAGCAACATCCATTTTGACTACTCTAACTGATTTAATAATATCTTTGTAATACATCAAAACAGAAATCTAATGTCTGTCTTAAATCCCTTGCTTATGTTCCTTCTGTGCAATAGTAACAAAACTCAACCTCGGGTAACTTTTCCCCTAGCCCTGATGCGAGAGAGAAGAATGAGTGTGCTGCACAGCTGACGGATGCACAGCCAGCCGATGCATCTGCCCATGCAATATTGTCACCGCTTGCTTATTTGGCAATGTGGTTAGTGCTGTAACAAATACATACCCTTTTGCATAGTGGTTTTTGCTCAAAGGAGCAACTATAAACAGAGTAATTCATGCTTGGTGCACCGTCTTGAGGCATTGTAAACCTTAGTTTACTTACAATACTACTCGTAATATTTCATCAGTGATAGATTATTTTTTTTTTTAAAGAGATTTAAACAAAATAGGGAAGCCATTTTCCAACAAGCAAATGGGAAAAGCACCGAGAAGTGAATGCAGGACCTCAGTGCGGAGAGAGTATAGAAATAAGTGAGTAAACACTGGCTGGAATGATAAGATGAAGACCTCGGATAGAGAGCAGAAAGAAATGAAAGCAGAGATGCGGATAGGAAAGCTTTTTGAAACGTTTTCTAGATTGAATTAGATTGGCTGAAAAGGATTTCATGGTATGGTACCTCCTACAGTGGGCCCTGTTCTGGAATGAAAAGCCAGGATGAAGATTTTTTAGAAGGGAACAGGAAAAAGAGGTAACAATCCTGGGTAATATAATTGCTAGATTCTCTAACAAAAAGGAGAAGCAAAATAAAAAATGACAGCTACCATTGTGAATCTTTATAGTGGAAGTGGGAGAGCATAAAATAATTACTTAGAGAAAGAAGAGAGAACAGAGGTTTTAGAGGAAAATTAAGAGCTTAATTCTATGAAGACTGAGTTTAATGGCAAAAAGCTGGTCAAGAAGAGATGACAGACCATGAGTATATATACATTTCTGTCCATTATGCCAACAGCTTCCATTGTACGGTGACAGCTGAACTGGACCATGTGGATGCTGTAGTTCCACCTGAAAGCTAGGGTCTTGTAAGTAGCAAACCACAGCCTCTACTAAAGTTAGAGGATAAAAATTTGTGTTCCTGAGTGTGATACTGTAAAACTGGATACAGATTTTGATGCATTAATGTTTGATTCTAATGGAAGTCATCCCAATTAATATCTCAGATTCATTTTTTTCATTCTTCATATTTCATATCTTTAAATGATAGAATCAAGAAGGGATGTGACATCTCAGTGGAGAAGAAGAATATACTACCCAGCTTTAAGTATGGATTTGCCAGAAAAATGATGTATGCCAGAGACTTGCATGGGCTCTTTGCTCTGGAATCCATTTTGTCTGAAGGAAAAAACTTTCTAAGACAGCACAAAGCTCTAATTACAACCCTGACACCTTCAAGGTTTTATCTTTGTTTAAATGCTATGTTGGTGATCCAGTGAAAGCAATGCTGCTGTTAGCACTGTCCGGCAGTGGAAATTGAAGAACTTAACCTCGTGGCTGGCTGTTCTCTTAAACCTGTATTTATCTGCTTAGCTTGCACTAATGTGTTATGCTTCTGAATGAGAACTTGCTTGATGAAATATGGCTTTTGTGTTGTCTCCTGTGGGTTGTGATTGCAACACAGGCTTAATATTCCTCTGATTGGTGACTTTTGATGATCATCACCATACTTCAAATAATTGGAAACACTGGAATATTAGCACTTTAGAAATATTATGATACTATTTTTTTTTTTAAACTCCTGAGTAGTTTTACATGTTTTAAAGAAAAAAAAAAAACAACAAACAAACTAACAATCCCAATGAGGCTGCAGCTAACAGACATACAAAAGACAAAAAAAATCTACTGGGAAACAGAGGAGGAATTTAGAGGTAATTTAATTTCTATTTTTCAAACACAATAAGGCAAATTACTTGTTAGTTGAGAGGGAAGAGAAACAAAATCAATAAATAAACAAAGGAAGGGCACCACTCACAATAAAGAAGTGGAATAACGTTCAAAGACTTACATGTCAAAAGACAGAAGGAATAACTAGGCAGGAAGGGAGGAACAAGTAACTTTTATTTAAAAAAAAAAAAAGTATTAAAACCAGTTCTTTTCTAACTGAAATTATTATTTTTGCTAAAGTGGAGAACCAAGAAAAAATCCATTGACTCACTTTCTGCCAAAGCAGCGACAATGAAGACTAGTCCTAGCATCCTTTGCCCCAAACAGCAGTCCTGTCTCACTTTTGTTCCCAAGTTCAGTATGCAGAGCCACGGTGTGCGATTTCCAGCTCTGAGCCACTTCCCTGCCTCGGGAAGAGCTGAACCCCTGTCTGTTACTGATGTGTCCTAGGGACTCTGCTAGCAAGTGTTTTGGGATGAACGGCTGTGCAACATGGAGCCTGCTCTGCCTGAGTATTTGCTCCACCAGTGAGCAAAGATGAGTTCATAGCATATCAGTGAGGGCATTCATTTGTTAGAAAATCTGGATTCCATTTGCTGCTCCCATGAACATTTAATTATCTTCTGCAAAGCGGAACGGCAGTGAAACTGGCTGGAGAACATTATGCACAAAATAACAGGGGGGAAGAAGGGGAGGGTGTTCAAATGGATGGTGATGAGGCAGTGTGCTCCTGGGAAGTGATCCATGTGGTTTTCAATCTCTCTTAGCAAGGGGAGGCAACAATGCCCAGATTTTTGTCTCTCTGAATGTTGCTGCATCACTGAACTGTTACATGAAAGGGGACAGGGAACTTCCTTCTCCCTTCAAACGATCTTCACTGAAAACTAGTTGGTGAATTGCAAATGACTTCATGATGCCTGAAGGTGCTCTTTGGTTTACCAAAACCAATTCAAGCAGACCAGCAGTAATCCTGTGTGCCAGTGCTAACTGTGCTCCTTTTTTAAATTTTTCTCAGATCCTGGCAGGCTGATGGAGGCAGCTGTTGCCCTTGGTTACACTCTAGTTCCCTTGTTGTTACAGCGTCAAGACCACTCTACCATTTGAGACATGCTGTTGGGCTTCCCGCTACAACTGCTTATTTATCATGGTCACTAGTTTCAATATCCACATCTTGGAAAATTAGTGTTGGAGGTGGAGGATTGTATCAACAAGCTTGAATTGTATCGGTAAGCTTTGTTGAAACCTGTATTTCCTTTCAGTCCACTGAAGAGCTTTGAGGAATACAGAATTAAGCGTTCTTCCCCAGGTATGCTTTCCCACTGATCACCTGTTGCCCTCAGAGATTTGAACGTGTCTCTTCCTTTGAACGAGCTTTATTAGCTTTTACGTGCCCTTTCTGCACCCTGTTTGCTCAACGGGTGCACTGTTAGGCAGCTCGAGACAAGTGTCATTTCTGTTTGCTAGTATCTTTAAGTTGCATTAATTGTTGGAAGAGTGTACTTCACGTTTGGATGAGTGTGGCACAGAGAATAAAGGACCAGAGTGTTTTCTAGCATGGCTGTCGATCTCTTGGAGGCTTTGGATTCATCAGAAAGCACTGCTGCTACACTATGATTATGCCATGATTAAGCTCTGCTCTCACTTATACTTTAGACAAATATATTCACTGTTAAAACATTTAAATATTCAATTAAAATATTTACATTTTCTTTCACTAATGTGATAATCACAGTATCTTAAAATTCTAAATTTGTCATTGTTTATGAAAGAAATACGTGAAAATGCTGAAAGGTAAAGTTTTGGCAAAATGGTGGAACTTGTTTAAAAGCAAACCGAAAGTGTGCTTCTCTATGTGCTGGAAAATATTGCCAAAGTAATTTGTTTTCCTTTCTTTATTAGATTTGTTTTATAAAATATACTTATCAAAACCTATTGCATAACATAGAATACTTAAGATAAATAACATCACAAGATTTACCCGTATTTATTTAAATTAAACGTCTTTCCAAACCACATTACAGAGATCTCCTTTGTCACCCTTAGGCAGAAGTCTGGATACAGAGTATGGAATATGCTTACAACATTCTTTGAAGGCCAAAGCCTCTTTTGAAGGAGCGGATCTGTAACTCGAGAAACGAGCTAAGGGCGTGATGGTCCTACAGTGTGATGAGAGAACTGATTAAATGGGTTTATAGAATTCCCTGTTCTTAAGAATAGGGAGGGGTACGAGATCACATTCGTTGTGTCAGTTATGCTGCTGTGATCTGTGTCAAAACAAAGGAGATGCAGAAATCCTGTGATTTGACACAGGAATGACAAAATGACAAAAGCTGTGTCATTTCAAGGGAATATATTAAGAGTGACCTTGAAGTCTCAAGGGAATAGTTTCCAAATTTTCTAACCTAATTCCTGTGGATTCTGCTCACCATCCTCCTTTTTACAGAGGGGAGGGACCAGAAGCTCTTTCATGAAGCTAAACTGAAGGCCCCAGTGGAACAGCCATTTACACCTTGCTCCACTGTATCACTGTGATAATGCCTTGCCTTTACTCAATGATGTTAACCATATGCTTAGTTTTGTTCTTGTAATATATATATTAGATTGGTTCCTACAGAAGCCCATTCGCTGTGAGGGGTACTTGAAGTATTTCTTTGGGCTGAAGCTTTCTACAGGAGGAGGACAAACCGGCTGCTTGTGGAGCCTGAATGCTTGAGGTTGAGTTCCATCAAACCACCGATATGGCCATACAACAGAAAGGTATCTAGGTACGCTACACGTGGAACAACCTCTCGAAGAAACTAGCGTGATCTTATGCTAAACATTTTACCAGTTTTTAAGCCTTCTATGAATACTTTATTTTTTTTTTTATCTGCTAGAATCCAGACAGATGTCAATTCAGTTTCACAGGATACCTTCTTGAAAGTATGAAAGCTATCAAAACAAAAGTGTATGCGTACACATGGATTCCTCTCCCCCTTTGCTTACTAAAAGTGTACAGGTACCAGCCACCAAAGGGTAAGAGACAATGCTAAATTTAATCACATAAATAATCTCAGGAGTTAAATTTAGATTTGTGTGCTTTTTCTGTTGCCAGTAACTATTCTGTTGGACAAAATTAAAATTAATGTATGTAGCTTCCTACAGAAGAAATTTTAGAACATTTTACTCTTTGAATTTGAAATGAAGTTTATTACAATGCAAAAACCTGCAGTCATTGGCATTATTTTTTATGGGGCCAAGTTGGCAGTAAAACACACTTCCCATTATCTCAGTTGTAAAAATCCTCTTGATATGAATGCACAAATTCCATAAAATTAAGAAGGTTTAATAGCTTTGAGACACACTGTGTTAGGAGTTGGGTGCTTGCTGTATGTGCTCACATATTTCTCTCCCTTCCTTTCTTAGTCCTGTCTTGTGGAGACACTAAAGAAAGGAAGATTCAACACTGGAAAGACAGGGTGGATGCTCTGGCTTTCATCCAGCTGAATGAACACTTTAAGCATCCACTTCATACGAAGCATTTAAGTAGTTCCGTGGGTGTTTGGAAACATGAAAGAGTAAGGCTTGATTCTGTCCCTAGTTCAAATCATTGGCAAAATTCCCACGGTGAAGAACTGGGAACTAATTAATGTGTAACGCAAATATTATTCAATGTTACATAAGCACAAAATATAGCTGCTCTTGCTGCTCAGCAAGACGCAAGAATATTTGCTGTCTGCAGAGTGTATCTGATAAAATCTTATGGAGAACCTGGACAAGGGGGATCAAAACCACTCAAAAGCTTAATGATCAACAGAAGCTAGTTCTGAGAAAAGAAAACATTCAAAGGGAATGTTAAGCAAGCCAATGATGGTGTGCCTTTTATAGATGGAATAAACTGCAGGACTTAGACCTTCAGACTGGAAAGGAGAATTAGAGTCACAACGCACAAATAGTAGTAAATAAATGACAAAAATTAGTGTATGTCAGCTTTTGTAATGTGTTTTTCTGTACAACCTTGGAGAGAATTGCTAAATACATGCCATGTAAAAGCAAACAAAGCAAAGAATACTTTGCTTTTGACAAATACCCACAATCATTATAGCACAATGTTAATGTTAAAGTAAGTAAATGCAAATTTTAATTAAATAATTAAAATGGCACTTATAAGCTTTTAACAAACTGAGAACAGCCAAGATGTTAGGTCTTAAAATCATTTTGTGTTCGAGACTCGTTAGAAAAGAAATTAGACTACTTGCTACCTCTGCCCTTTCTTAATCGTTGCATGTGCATCAGCACTTCCGTGAAAATGTTTAATCTTTTACTTGTGTTGATGAACTCTTGTACTGCAATAGCAGTTTCCTTCGGGTTAATCTGGTCCCAATACAATGTCCACTTGAGCCAATGGAAATAAACTTACTGGCATCAGTCGGCAAAGTGTTAGGCAGCATTGCAAGTGCCAACTTAAAGGTACGTGGAGACTTTTAATAAAGAACCCCTCAGCTGTATGAGATATGTGCATGTATTAAGTCAGATCTTCAAGATCCACATGCACTATGTCAATAGGGTGAACTGGACTTCTGATCCCAAAAGCCAAGGTTTACAGAATTTAATAGTACTCAGAACATTCACACCTATCCACAATTGGGAACTATGGCCATTCTGTCTTACTGGCTTTTCATTGTTAAAAACCAGGGGAATACCCTGGAACAAAACTACTCTCATTTGGTATTCTGCATGGATACCAAAGAAAGCACTGACAATCCAAGTGTAAGCTAGCATATGTATTATTTTTCCCAGACAGTGTGACAGTAGCAGGAGAACAAACTCTGCAAACAAAGGAGGGAATGCAAGTATTTCCCCACAAATTTTTTGAGGAAGGGTGTTGGGTGACATCATTCTCTATTTACTATTTCCCCTTCAGTTGTGCTTTTTTGCTGTGAGCCCAGCCACTGCATCATTGAGCATACCTACAGGAAAGGGTGCAGAATTCTGCCTCACAACTGAGCAGCAATAACCCTGACTGACTTAGAAGCCATATAATTCTTTTTTTATGCCAATAAATTGAAACACAGTTGTAGCATAGACAAGTGGTGAGCAAAGAATGTGTTTACTTAAGCTCAACGAAATGTGAGTGTTAAATTTTATGGGTTCTCAAGCAGAGGTAGATCACATCTGAAAGGACTTGGAACATGGAGTTGGTGTGTGACAATCTTCATTAATAAAGTAGATACAGTCTAATCTTAAATATTCCTACAGCTGCGCTCCTATGGAGTTGCATGGAGGACCTGCTACTGCTTCCTGACTTTCTGTGAAAAAAGATTATCCAATTTTCCATACTTGATGCCCAATAAATACTTTATAAAAAAGAATCCAATTTAAAGTAACCGAACCGTGAATTTAGGTCTATACATTATACTTTGCTTTTCATACACAGTGTGGTGTACATTATCTTTTAATTCAGCTGTGTTATTGAATAGTGTTGAATATAAAAAAGAATCCAATTTAAAGTAACCGTGAATTCAGATTAGGTCTATACATTATACTTTGCTTTTCATACACAGTGTGGTGTACATTATCTTTTAATTCAGCTGTGTTATTGAATAGTGTTGAATAAACATAATGAATTGTGGCTAGTTAGGCTTTCCTCAATGTGTGGCAGTATTGAAAGATGAAAAAAGCTATTTATGTCATGCTCAAGGTGACTAAATATGAGACCGATAGGTTAGGAAAATTACTGAATTTTTCATCGAACTAAGTTTAAAAAAGCAAATGAAAGTTGTGGTACTGTGATGTTACTTCTGTTGCTTTGATGAAAACCAGGTCACAATGGGAATAAACAGGGAACAGCCATAAGAAAGAAGAAACAGTAAGACTAATTAGTATGATTAATTTATTTTAGAAACAAACCAGTGAGTGGAAAGTGTTTATACAGAAAATATTCTCACCTGCCAAGGATGAGATATTAATGATTACTCCTCCATCGCCTCCATTTCCTTTTCTCATGTATTCTAGGCCGAGGTAGGTTCCTCTAATCACAGATGTCTGATATAGGGGGGAAAAGGATAATTGTATTCAAAATATCGTTCTTTTGTGCTCCTAAAATTTGAAACATGCTTTTATTGTGGTGCCTAGAATAATAGTAAATAATTTATAGACTGAAACACATACTTTATCTAAGGATATCTTATGGAACTGATCCAAATCCCAGAATTTTTGTTGAGACACGCTGCTCTGCATTATAAAGAAATGTACAGAATGAATCTGAAGATAACACTAACACTTATAACTCCATTTGGCTCAAGGCATGAGAAATTTACACTTTTTAGGATTAAGTTATGTGATGTATTTCTGGTGCCAGGATATTAAAAGTTTGTATTCTTTTCTGACTGAAGTTACTGGAGTATTACCGTTCTTCTCAAATGAAAGTTAGCCCAAACAGACAAATACAGATAAGGTAAAAAAGCATCCTAGCATATGTGAAATGTTGTTAGTATAATATTAGCTGCTAGCATGTGATTTTGAAAAATATTTTGAAAAATCTGTATATGCCCAAAACCTAATGGATAGTGGCCAGTTGTACTAGGAAAAAAAGGCTTTTAAAATCAGAACATTAAGTATTTTTCTACCATTATCTAAATTCCCAAACCAAAATTGGAATAATTTTTAAATGGGTATTACATTTCATTTATATTGGCTGATATTTTTAGACCTACATGTTATAAAACATAAAGTAAATCTGCTAATTCAATTTCAGTTATCTGTCATGCTTGTTGGTTTTAACAGGAATCAGATTTGGAAGACTGCATGTCCTGCTTTATTAATATCGCTTGTTCATTTTCCAAGTAACATGAAGTCAAGCGACAGAGATAAAACAACCTGAGACCTCATTACCAAGTTTGCTTTGGAATTTTGATAATGAATCAGCTTTTTTGATTTTCTATAGTTGCAGCATTTTATGTGATATTTTCACTATTAATATATTTTCAGTATACCTATTTCATGGAATAGTGTAAAAAAGAACAAAATATGAAAATTTCAAAATTCTGAAATAACATTTAAAATTTTCCTTAGGCAAAAAATTCCCATAAAAAGTTGGGTTTTGTTTTGTTCCTCTCCTGGAAAGTTTTGGTTTGGGTAATGTGCTTTTTAGAAACATTTTGATTAATTGATGAAAAGTTTTAACAGAAACTTTCCAAAGAACTATTTTCAGTGGCTTGAAAAAGACCAAACTAAATCTGATTCCTCTTGCACATCCTGGAAAGTAGCAGAGCCCTTATAAACATAATCTAGTGCTGTTTAATGTTGATTGTCACATGTAAATTTTCAAGGATTTTTTGAAAAACAAGATCGTTAATGCTCGGTAGTGTTGCTGGAAGGTATACTTAGTCTGAATGTAAACTCATTGGCAGCTCAGCTGAAATTAGACTTGGAGTTAAGAGTAGGGGGTGTTTTTTAATACCTACATAGGATAGGCTGTCCACAGGACTTTTAGAAAGGAAGGGGTTAGTGCTGCCCGTGGAGAGCAGGTGCAGGTCCTGCCAGGCCCTGGAGCAGTGGCTCAGCCTGCTAAACAGAAAAAGAGAATTCCCCTTAGGGAGGATTAGAGGAAATAAATCAGCTGGAGAAGGAAGTAGCTTGGGGCTTCTTGAGGATTTTTCTATTCCTCCAGCCTTCTAATTCAAAGGGATAATAGAGCTAGATGAGTCCTTGGCCAAACCACAACTATAAGACAAGAAAAAAAAGTTGGGTAGCTTGACTCTCCTATCAAAATCGCTGTACTGCTCTTTTTGCTTTCTAGAATCCATCAACTCAGCATTTCTTCAAGTGGCTGGGGAAGTCGTCTCCTTTATGTAGGTATTGTGAGAGGTGGTCTTCAGAATAAATGCAGACTTTCATTCGGATATTGCCCTTATGCCTGCTGTTATCCTTGCAAAAAACTTCTCATCGAGTGTGGCTGACCTCAGGTCGCATGGCTATTTCTGATGTTTGGGCTGGTAACATAAAGAATGATTCTGGAGATAAACTCTGAACCAAATATATAGGGTGAGAAGAACCTAGCTGTCCGCACGCTCAGCGGATAGCAAAGGCATTGTGTGACAGATCTCCCATTCTCTTGCCAGAACTCCCCTCTCTTCAGGAGAGAAAGTCCTCTCAATAGTTCTCCAAGGAAGAGGAGCAGTGGTGAACTCACTGTGGTACGAAACTCACACAACATGTGCTTAGAAGCCTTAGTGCCGCTTCCCAGTTGAGCCTGCCGATCCAGCCGAGTTGGTAAAGTGAAGCTGGCTCTCATACCATGCCAAACACTCAAATGGCAAAGAGGTTTTCCAAAGAACAATAGTCTTTGGACTATTGTTTTCCAAAGAACAATAGCATATCGGGTTTGGGTTTTGTTATGAAATCCATCTTTGCAAGTGCTTAAATTGCAGCTTCAGGTCTTCTCTCATACGAAATGCAACTTGGGATTCCTATTTGTTGACATCAGAACACTCAGGCTGAATTCCAGAAAAAAAGCTTATTGGCTATTATTTCGCTATACCATGAAATACACAATAGAAAATAAGAAAGGCAAAGAACGACGCGTTTTGTGCAGCTCAGTTTCCTGCTTTAGGGACATGATGAAAAATGTCTGTAATTTGCCTTTCAATATAAAGGTGTCTTTGGATTGTGTAGTTCTCCATGTATACTTTTAAGAATAATAATTTAATCCCATGCTTTTAACCAAGAATAATTAATAGTTTGTCTACTGCAAATAGAAATTCTGGGAAAGTTAAATTTTAAAATTACCTAATTAAAAAATAATTGTCTGCCTTGTTTTAAGATGAAAATATGCTGGGAGACTTAACTTTGTACAAGAAAGTGTGTTGCGTTTTAGAGTTGAATTTTTTTACAATTCCTTTGTTTACAACTGCATTTAGCTGCACGGGTGTTGTACATAAATGTCAGGAACAACGAGTAGGAAAGCAAATGTGCAATTAAATGCAGGTAAAGTGAAAAATGGGACAGCTGACTCCCAGCTAGTTTTTTTGCTTCTGGCTACTGAAAACTAGTATCATTAAAATTAGAAAATAATCTAAATGTTTTTCCTCCTAGCTGTTGAAAAACCTTAGACCTTAGTGACGCTGCTGTTTGTTTTCTTGCCAAAATACAGTGTTTTACTATAGCATACAATGAAGATGGACCATGAAGGTGCACTGCAAGTCCGAGTGTGCTCCCAAGAGGCAATTTTACTCTTCAGCTGCCAGTGGAAAATTTAGGATTCTTTCCAATGAAGTTATGGTGAGTGTGGGAATATCTCCCAGTATTAGCTTCCATAAATGACAGATTTAATTTAGAGGAGGTCAGACATTCTGAAGCACCATAGAGTAATAAACCCAAAACTTAGCATCTGACAGCACGGTAAACTTTACAAAATAACTGTGCTCAAACACAAATGCAAATTCAAAACATTTGCGGTTGTTTTTGGAAGTATCATATCACTAATCAGTAACTTATTTACGAATCATTAAATGGCAATTCAGGTATCAGTGTCAAAATCAGAAACAAAACTTATAAAATCTGTGATTCTTGACATTTCTATGTATCCCACAGCCATATAGTTTTAATTGTATTGTTCTAAAAGAAATCATATATTGAAACTCTGATTCTAATAAGACTCTAATAGAGACCTAATTAATTTTTTTCTGGCATTAGGAACCAATGTTAGCCAGTGTTGTACAATGTTCTTGTATTCCAACATTACACCCCTAAGTCAGTTTTCATCCTCTGTGTTTCATGTTAGCTTGATCAATTAAAAAAACCCAATGTACTATTCTTCAGTGATGGTGCCCAGAACATCATTAATCATCATCCTTTGCAAGTGACAATTGCTTTGAAAGTAATTTAGTACACAGTGCTTTTTTTTCTAGTGTTCCAAGGCAGGTGTTCCAACTGACATAGTTTCTTGTACCTAATTATTAAGGTTTCCCTTGCCACATCTTGTCCGATACTTCTGCTGTCTGCTTATGCATGCTAATATTTTATGCTGAGAAACTATATCTGCGTTCCTTCAGTGCTGAAGATGACTACTCTAGTGTTACCAAGGTGATAAGGCAATATGGTGAGAACAAAATAGTGATCAGTAATCAGTCCTACATTTTATATAGGTGTCTGAGCTAATCTAGTTCAGTGCTAGGGATACTGAACAAAAAAACAAATGAGAGCGCCATTGACTTGTGGTTTCATAAAGCAGGTTAGCACAGAGATGGAATTTGACCCAAGATAATTTGATTTTCATACTGTGATGTTGTAAATTGATGGCTATCTATAAGGAAACATTTCAAAGTACTTTATGAACTGCGTAAGAGAACTTCAGAAGTCTGACACTAAGTGCTGCTAGTGATATCCATGGAAAATTTTAGCATTTTGCTGTTGGACAGGGAGGTGGGGCTGATTTTGTCTTTAATGTAGATTTTCTAGGAAGCAGACAGGTTGTAGCAAGCATGCAAGTCCCTTGGCATTCCTAGGTATAGGATAGCTTACTTGCTACATGAAATGCAATTGCAGGCTCTTCAGTTTGAATTTCCAGCTCAAACTGTGGAAAACAAGAAGCCTAGGGAGGGAGAGGCAGAAAGGAGAAAGGAATGTGCAGTAGGATTTGATCATTTGCTGGAAATCAGTAGCTTTTGTACAATGTGGGAGTGAAACATTATGTTCTAGTTTTTTACTATGCGGTTCTCTACTTTTTTCCCCCCACATATTCCTGAAGGACATAGGAATAGTATTGCATTTTGGGCTGAAGTAGGTCTTAGTTCAAAGAAATTTGCTTTTTATTGTACTTCAACATGGGTTACTGTAAACATACATTAAAACTGTAAGCTAAGAAGTTCATTGACTTACTCTGCAATTAAGGTAAGCCTGTGTCTTTCCTAGTGCAATATGACCAACAAAAATAATTATACTTACAGGCTACTTTATGCACTTAGAGGATTGACCCTCATGCCACTGATTTCCAGGTAAGTGGTACTTTTCACTTTTTGGTGGCCACATCTCTCCCTAGGCACTTAGTCCTCTTTGTGACAGCAAATTATGCTGAAGAGTAAGCCACGAAGCCATTGAACAACAGAGTTAGTGTATTTCTGGTTGTCTTTGAATGCAAGCTTCTTAAACTAGCTTACCCACGCAGCTTTATCTTCTACAGATAGCACTGATTGTTTTGTTTTGTTTCTGTGTTGGTAACATGAAGAAACAGTGCTTGCCTCTGTACTGTGGGACCTGGTGGTAATTCCTAGGTGCTGAGTCCAGCTATGTGTCCTGGTCATATTATTTTGGGATGAAAGTTCCATCCTTGTCATTTCTCCTGGTATGCTGGGGAAAGGAGAGCGAGGTGTACAGAAAAAGGTTGCAGCATACTCCCAAGGGATCCCTTTTACAGCTTGCATGATGGAACAACCTTGTGATGATTACAAAGTCTTTGTCCCCCAAATAAATAAAATTAATCACTTCTCAAGTTTGCCTAGTTATCCTTCTGGTTTCTGCCAAGGCACTAATTGGCCTTTTGAGGAACAGTTCCTTACGGATGAGCAAATAAATTGATTTTGCAAGGTTTGCTAGTTGCTGGAACGCTTATTTCACCATGAGCTATACTGAGCCACACACATACACACGCGCACACACAGCGTGTTGCTTTCTCTTCTCTGTAGTACCAATCTAAATATTTTGCAGGGACAAACCCTGAGTTAGGTAGACTTCATTTTAGAAAAGGAGTTTTCTAAATTCACGGAAACTTGTTACCTTTATCATTTATGGAAATAAATTATGCAAACCCATGAAAAATGTAAAAACTTGGAATTGTTGGGTACTGCTACATTTTGCCTAGCAATGAAGGATGAGACTGCCATGCACCTGAACAAATTGTACATGTGTATTTGAATTCTACTTCTCTCTGGGCAACACTCAAATAATTGGATCCCATATAACTGGTTTTTTTTGGTATGCCCAAGTTATGGCCTGCAATTTAAAGTTTTGCCAGAATAATGTGTTAAAATGTGAAAAATGATCACATAAACAAGCAATAATTGTGATTTTGCTGTCAAATTCTTCCATGAGCCTATTTAATTTCATTTGGGGAATTGGTTTAACTCTACCTACAAAATAATTAATTTGTTGGTGCAAGAAAACAATAAGAAAGTAAAAATGTTATGTAAAGTGCTTCTGTACTTTTGATTCAGGTAATATTTAAAATGTAGGCATGTCATACCAGTACTGCTACATTTAACTGTATACTGCAACCTATGTCAGTTTTCAGAAACCTCTGATAGGAGCATGAAAAAGGAACCCTCAAGTAAATTTGGGGATTGTCTTAGTATAAAATGCGCCAAGTGCACTTGTAAAGAGAAAAGATACTGTAATTATAGCAGCCACCATAATTGCAGTGGCTCCAGAAAGCCTACACCATCAACACAAGATAAAATTAGGGAAGCTTCTTAGAACACCAAATTGTGTTTAGCTAACATACATGTTCAAGGCTCAAAAATGTAGGCACTTTCTTTAGTGACTTGAAGAGAAAAAAATCGGATTACAACATTTCTGGATCCTTTAGACATAACTTCTTATGAAGCTGAAGGCAAGAAACACTGCTCTTGTCATGCTGGAGGACTATAGGTAGAAGTCTGGATAAGAATGTATGTGTTACAGGTCATTGTGCTGCGATGGGCTGTTGAAACTACACTGGTAATAGCCATTTTAAATGGAATCCCGGTATGGTTGCCAAGATCTTTTTTTGTATAGCATAACAAGAAGAGCGTACATTTGTATGGGTCTCAGTGGCTGAAGCTGCCACTGATCAAGCTGATAATGATCAAGTCAACACTATCAGCTTTGGAGTTTTGAGGTGAGGAATGGATGGCATTGCTGGAATACTTTGCTACAAAAGTTAATAGAAATATTAATAAAGTAACAAAAGGTGGATGTTGTTTAGCACAAAATATAGCATAACGGTGGAAAGCACTGCAACAGAAATCTCTTTTTAGCGGTTGATGCTCTTTTTCCATCCTCATCTTTATCAAGCTGTCTTTTCTCGCTCTCAGCAAACTGTAATGGATACAAGTAGGAATTGTGTTTTATTCCCTCTTTTTCCTTCTAAATTAAGTCCTGCTCTTGGAACCTGCTGCTTCTTTTCTGTTCCTTATGCTTTCTCAAGCAGTGCTATCCGGGAACTTCCTTGCACTCCTTTAAAAATGTTCCTGAAGACCAACCGGTTCTGTGAACTGTTTTAGCCATAAAGAACACACCCCGTATGTGTTTGTTCTGATTTATCTTGCTCTGTACTGCTCTACTCTTGTACTTTGTACTTTAAACTGGGGCAGGGAATATTTGTTGTATCAATATATAAATGATATCTCTAAGACAAAGACTGGTATGTACAGGTTGGGTTTTTTTTCCTTTTTTAAAACAGAAAATACGTGCATAATGTGTATCAAAATGTATGGCCATAGAAGGTATTTCTGTTCATGGGGATAATACAAAGGATATGTAAAATGTTCTATGTCAGGGAAACAGAGACATTTTAAAATCATGTGTATCACACATATTTAGCTCCTTTCTCTACAAGAAGCAAAAAATGTTTTACGGAACCAACTGATATAACATACTGAATGCAGCAGCTGTTATTCTTCCATTGTTACAGCGAAAAAGCAAGAAGTACAAAATGTTATCTCTCAGTTTATGGAAATTACAGCAACTAGATAGAAAGACCCTATGGAAATAAGCTAGTTAGTTGACCCAAGGTTAGACAGGGTACCAATATTCAAATTAAAAGATAAATGAGGATATTTGGATCTTAGAGTGTCCTTGATTTAACCCACACAGCTGTACTTCTACTCTGCTTGATCATTTTAGATGTCCTTATTCCAGTCACCAGCATGTATTGATGAAATTTTTCAACCTGCAACTGTGAATTAAGCCGTTAGGTCATTTATGGTGAACTTACCTATACAATAATGTATAAACTATATAATCTTCCCCTTTTTCTTGAAAATTTCCAGTTCTTCTGCTACTTGAGACGGTTCAAACCCAACTATGGTCTGCTTTAGTCCAATCACCGGTGATAAGACAGAAAGAATAGTAGAAGGAGGCTCTCAGTGCCTACTGTTTGAAGCTCTTGGCATTGAAAAATTGTTTGGACATCACTCTAAATTTGCTGATCAGAATTCCTTCATTTTATGAGTTAAATTTAAAGGTGAATCACAGACAAATGTGTTTCTTACATGGACTTCAACTTTTCTGGTGACAACTAACTATCTGTGCTTGCAAATTTGACGGGTGGATGGCTGCCTACAGTAACTTGTACCCCGTGTTGAACCAGGCACAAAAATCAAGAGAAATAAGGCATCTGGAACACAGGTAAAGTCTTCTTTCAAACTCAAGGAATCTGTACTAATAGATCTTGATGTTGCATAGCACTGAGGAAGTCACACTCCTACTACTTCACAATATGAAGTTTCCTGATGTTTAATTTGTCAGAATATTTTAGAAATCAAAGGGGGGGAGGGGGGAGAAACATGTATATTTAATCTCAAAGAAAAAAGCAAAGGAAATTGAGCAAATGTATTTCTCTTATTGCAGAAATTTTATCTGTGGTCTCAGTCCAGTCCCTTCCAAGAATAAGAAAATTTGACCTTGGATAGATATAAAAGATGGAGAAAAAGTATTATTAAATCTAACCTTTTTTTTTTAAAAAAAATACATATTTTTCTATAACTTTTCTCACATACAGCTTGTATTACTTGTCCTCAGGTTTTTTTGTTAGTTTGTTTTCATGGAGGCATTAGGATTCAAAGACTCAGGTACTTTTGTCCTTAAAACTTTTGACAAAAGCAAGCTTTTAATTTTCTTATCCCAAGCTTTCTTGTTGCATTGACAAATTCCAAATGACTGATTGGAGAAAACTCCACATTTCACTCTTCCTTTTGCTTCTTTCTTTGCAGATCTAGATTATAACACTTTGTCACATTTTGGTCATAGGGGTGACTTGCTGGATCGCCATCAAATTAGAACTTCACAGGTGGTAGAATACAAGCCGGTCAGAATTTTATTAACCTAGAAAGTCGGTCTTTCCTTTGGAGCTCAGATCTCCTAGCAGCGTAGTCTAAATTTAAAAATTTTCGACTGAGAAACAGATATTGTGGTCTCACCTGATGAGATACCAGATAATATTAAAGAACAGGTAATCGTCTGTTTGAAAATAAATTTTACAGGCTCATTGAACGTACTGGGTTTCAGCAAGTAAGTGCTCTTAAGTGGTGTGCGTCTATCAGTGACAATGGTGAAATGGCCTATGTTAAGAGCTCAGATTGTATCCTTGCTTCATTGGTGAAGAAAATGTGGAGCTCTTGGTTGAACAAGTATTCTCATAATACCAGCAAATGGCAACTTATTCTCTAATGCAGGCCAGATGAGTCTCACAAGTAACTGAAATGTTTTAAAACGTTCATATAAACAGACTGGCCTCCTGTAGATGCAGCTCTACTGCATTGGGCACCAAATTGTTACACCTACCTGAGACTGGGTTTTATAGAAAGAGGTTGGCTGGTGTTAGCCCGCGTACCTCTACGCAGTGCTGTGCATCTTGGACAGACAACTTAAAGGACCCACCACACACACACATTTATTGGGTAGTACGTACGCAGTTACATGGCAGTTGTTTCAGCAGCTGTGCTTACCAACCCAGTAATTAACGTTCTGTCAGGTGGCACAGTCTGTACAAGCCCAGGGCTGCTAAGTGTATTCCAGCATTAAACACTGAAGTACGAGCATGTGAAAGGAGATAATGCTTACCAAGTTAATTTGTATAGTGCTTTCCCAGTCCTTCTCATTGTTCACTCCAGCGTTATTAACCACAATATCCAGCCTTCCAAAATGTTCAATTACTTTCTTGAAAGCACCTAAGGTAAGATCCAAGGGTGACATTTCTTAGCACTTAAGGAAAGTGAGACATAAAAATACAATGCAAGCATACAAATCAGTGTTTTACTAGTCCACCAAAATGTCTTAACTGTTTTCTTAACCACTAATGAGCAACATGCAATTAAACTATTTATCTAACCATTACACCAATATTAAATGTATTCAGGAAAACTGACAGGATCAAGATACCATAGCTGCCTTTTCAGTCAGTTTTATAATGCCTGATAACAGGAGCTAATGAAAGTTCTTAGCACCCATACATTTTATATTAGGTAGGATATTTGGCACCCTGATTATATAAATCAAGCACTTACAGCTTGATTTTTAACAGTTTGATACAGCTAGTGAATTCAAGATTTGGCACCATCTCTTTTAAATGAAAAATAAAAGCTTCACATATTCAGAACAATTTTCTTGGGTGAGTCTGAATTTAACCTAAGAACGCAATTCTTATTCAGTGATATAACTAATATGAATCTTTCAAGTTCAAATAATTCATCATAGTTCTTGTTTAAATTTATCCATTTATGGATACATTGCTATACATCCTACTTGTCAAGTAACTTTAATAACGTGCTTCTCAAATTCAAACCTTCTTCTTTCTGTTCATGAAAATAGTGACCTGTCTTCCAAAGAATTTCAAAATAAAGAACTGGGAAACTTCCACAATGACATTGTGTTCTCCCAGGTGACAGCGTTCGAATGAAGATAAAAGATGTGTATGGAAAAACATGATGATGTCATAGAGATGAGCAAACTCATCTAGGCTGGCTCTGCTTTGACAGGATAGCTGGATGAGATGACCTCCAGATGTTTATTCCAGACTAAGATTTTCCATGACTGCAGACATTATCTGACATGTAAATATAGCTTGGTGGTTTTTTCCCCTCCAAATATTGTTCCTTGTCACTAAATACTTCTTATTATGTAAACCAAGACCCTGCGTCCCCCATATTGTTTTTAAAAAGCATCATTTGGTGACTGATTAAAAATCTAGAGTATTTCAGGTGTACTGAAATTATGCTTGACATCACTTAATGAAACCACTTCACTAAAAGGGTTCATCTTAATGCTCTGATCTTTAGTCTTTGGCTATCAGTGTCAGTCAGGAGCACAGCAGCAGCTCTGAGACATCCACCTTTTTTGCGGCAGTTGCAGGGGTTTTCAAAGTTTTTTTTCTTGCACCAGGTCGTGGGTACTGTTACAGCCTTTTCTTTGCTTGAATGCTGCCGGTCCATCAGAGTCATCATCTTGTCGTCAGAACAAGAGCTGGGCAGTGGACAGGAAAGGTTTTATTTGCCCAACTGCCTTTATTGTACACATTTTTCTAATATTCTTATTCTGTACTAGAATAATATTACTAAAGCCTCTATTTTTGGCTGTCTGCCTTTTTGGTGTTTGTTATGTTTGTTGCTATTTCATTCTCTGGTTGCTCAACTTAACTCTTTGATCACTTCTCATCTTCCCAATCCTGCATCAGCAAGGGCAAACGAAAACCTGTGGCTTTATTAGGAGCAGAACTGATTAACTTAGTTACAAGGAGGTAAATAAATACAATTTGGGTCCTTAATGAGCTTCCCAATTCTGGAAACTGGCTCTTTGGTTCCCTTTTAGGCCTCCTCTGAATAGTATCTTTCATCAACCTCATTCTTAATAGAATCTTTTCTCTTCAAAAAACACCATGGATAATAGTACTTTTGCCATTTATTTGTTTATTAAATTCACACAAGCTTTCTAGTTTACACATTGAGAAAAGAGCCATATGCTTTTCAGCTGTTTGCATATTTATGTTAAAATACAGAATTATTACCAAATTTGGAATATTTATCGTAAAAATTTACCTGCCTACAGTAATCCCATCTATTACCTATCCACAAATAGAAGAATCTCATCATAAATTCTTAATAGAGTTATCACCCACACATCAGTGTAAACTGACTTGTTCTTCCCTTTTCAAATGCAGAATAATTCTGTGTTTACATTTCATACTGGATCGTGCTTATGGAATCATAAAAATTAAAAGCAGATGATCATATGAAATACTGAATGAAGAAAAATGAAAAATAAAGAGGAGGATCCATTTTAAAGGAGAGGTAAGAAAAACAGTGGAAAGTAAGTACAAACACCAGTTATACGTGAGCTTCCTAAATATTCATGGAAAGCAAAAGTAAATGTACAGTGATTTTTCAAAAGTGGGATGAGATAGAAGATTTTCGTGGAGGACTATGTGAAAGAGCCACCAGAGAAAAAAGCACAAGCAAGACTTGAAGGTAGATGAAGCAGCTGATTTCCTACCTGTAAGCATTATCTACCTACAGATTTAGTACTGTGATTTGTTTCATACCGAAAGGGCTAAAGTCAAAATAAGAGGAACTTCATTCATGCACATGACCTTTAACATAAAAAGCAAGTACAGGACTTGATGCATCCACCAAGGACTTTAAACACTAGGAGTGAAATTAATCTAAGTTTATGAAGTGGTGGCTTGCAATTACAAGTGAAAAGATAAGAAAATAAAGGAGTAAAAAACCCCTCCAACCAACAAAACCACTAAAAAATACCCCAGAAACCCCAAAGGATTGTAAGACGAGAGCGCAAATTTGTGCTAAGAGACCTGCGGCAGGCATAATGCAGTATCAGAGAAGCAGAAGCAGCAGCCGCCCGTTCTTGGTCTCGCTCCTTGCAAAAGCCTGTTCCCATCCTACTCGGATTGCTCTTTCCC